GTAGCTTTAGAATAGAATTAACATAAGGGTAGTTAAATGCTCTTTGTTTCAAATATACATTAAATCATTAGTAGAAATAAAGATATATTCTTCATTTGTAAAGCTAGGTGTTTGTTAGTTGAACCCAACACTTTACTTGATGAACATGATAGTTAGCTTAGTATCCTAGTCACTAGAGTTAGCTTAGTAGTTTACCATGTGTATTTTTATTTTAAGAGTTGCTGTTGCCGAAATGCTAAGTGTTGCATCATCATTGCATGCATGTTGAGAACGAGTTGGCAGAGATCATGACCATCGGAGATCATGAGTTCAAGGAGGTGATTGAAGAGTACGAGGAGGAGATTCTCATGCAGGAGGAGGTCCGGAGCCGCCACTGACTAACTGAGCTGACACCACGCCTACCCAAGGTAAGCCCCGGTGCATAACCTTATTTTGAATAATCACTGGAAATATATATATGATGTGCATTTACATTATAGGATTTATATTAAAATTACATGCATAGATATACCTACTTATGAGTCCTACTAGATTAGGTCGAGTAGCTGCTATGCTTAGGTTTTTCAGTAGCGTGAGTAACCTGCCGTTACTCATAATAGGTGATTGTTATTATCACTCTCATGATAAAATGGTGAAAAGAAATGGAGACCAGGCAGGGATATGGTATGGGTATTGGTGGGTGTAAGAGGTTGTGTCCCGCGGCCAACAGGGCATAGCTTGGTTACACTATTTTCCCTGTCTGTGTCGATTAAGGACCGGCCGTTGCATTGGATTCTAGTCAGGTCACAGACTTATTATCCTGAGCACATACTTGTTTATGGGAGCAGGGAAGGCTCGTTGCTCTCTCGTCGTGGGTTCTGGCTCTTTCCGAACCGACTGATTGGAGTCAGGGATGGTGGTGGTCTAAGCACCACACTGAGTCCGGGACTCAGATGTGGGGGCTTGGAGTCCAAGTTTGGATGGAGACCAAGACCCCTTGACAGGAGAGTGATGGGTTGGTCCTGCTTGTGCCTGGGGTACAAGCGAGGCATGTGTTTTAGGGTACCTAGCTGGGCACATTGATTCGCGAATCGTCGGGTAATCCGGTACGACTTGTCTACAATCTAGCACCGTAGTAAGAACTGGAAGATGAAAGATGGTGAAATGGATCTGTTTGCTCAACTCTTGCTTGAAAGTAGAACATGTGCTTACCTAGAATGGTTAGATAATGAACTAATCATGACTGCTAATAAGAAACATACATAAGGATTCACTACTAGTATTGCTTTCCGCAAAAAGGAAACCCAGCAACCCATAAAGCTTATCATATGCTTTGGAGTCGGGAAATTAATCCCACTAGTCGGGTAAGTCTTGCAAGTACATTGTGTACTCAGGGTTTATTTACCCCTGTTGCAGGTGCATCTTGAAGAGTAGCTATTGTGTGGATGATTCTTCTGGTGGGCACAGACGGATCCTTGTATTCTACCGTTAGATGTTTATTGTAATTTCGCTTTTTAAATTCCGTACTCTGAACTTGATACCGTAATAATGTATTTCTAAGAACTCTGGTTGTATGAAATAGACTATGTATTGTAAACTCGTTCTCATTATTGGATCTTGGAGGAAAAATATGAATTATTCGAGTTCTTTCTTGTGGTGTGCTCGACGGAATCCGTTCGATGTAGCTTGCTTTTGGGGTGCTTAGTGTCCGGTGGAAGACGAACGCCTTTGAAGGTGTGTTATTTCGGGCGGTTCTTCCACACCCTCGAAGTCCCTCCATCCAAAAAGCCTACGCAGGAGTATCATACTCCTCCGTAGGCACGGGGGCTACTGTCGGGTATCAGTATTAGGGATACCCGAAGAAGGGATCTGAGGACCGCGAACAACAACTCGCTCAGATAATCAAGGACATATTTTAGTGTCGACTGACCCCGAAGGGACGGTTTCTGCCTCGCCAGACCCCTCAGACACGGGCCCCGTGTCACCCGACCCCTAGGGTACGGCAGGGTCCGTACCACCCCCAACCACTATGGGTCCAAGCATGTGGCCCTAGGTCAAGCCTCTAACATCAGAAGGGGCGCAGGCACATCTTGACATGACCCGTGGCCACGACAGGCCACGCCCGGGGGTTCGCATCACCAATAGTGACGGGTGCGTGGGCGCTGTGCTGCCTAATCCCCGTACGGCCGCTGACAGGCATGTCGGTTCACCACGCCGTTTGCTGGAACGGGATGAAACGCCACGACCAGCTGATGATGTTGAGGCATGGCACCAGTGGTGAACAGGAGCCCGACATGGAGCCATCTCCGTCACCATCTACAGCGTTGGCGGGACCCACCTAAAGGAGAAGAAGGACGCGGCGGTCCCAAAGGGCTTTTTCTCCTCGATTTTCTCCCTTTTTCTCTCTCTCTCTCTCTTTTTTCTGATGTAACCTGCATCTTCCCCCTTCTTCTATAAAAGGGGGAACACAACGCAACACAAGGGGGAGGGAGGCACGGGCACACGGCTGAGGAGCTGAACAAGCTCTCAGCACTTTTCAATCCTTCCACCAGAGACCTAGGATCCGCTCCCTCTCTCGCACATTTGTAACCCCTACTACAGGCAGTGTCGGTAACACGAGTAGCAGCAGACTGGACGTAGGGATGTTCTGCCTGAACCAGTATAATCCTTGTGTCCTCCGAGCACACCATCCGGATCAGACGTGCAAACTAGAAATGTACTAGCCGGTGATCCGAAACACCGACAGGTATCAACTGATCACTCTACTCTTGCATTATTTGTGTTTCAATTTACATAATAGAGATAGTAGGACTTGTCATCCTAGGATGCAAACTAAGATAGTTTATTTAGTTTATCAGCCTGTTCGTTTGGCTGTGGCTTATCGTAAACGATCGTAAATTTTCAGTCGGAATAGTATTTTTCCCTCACACAAACCAGCCAACAGTACTTCTTCATGAACCAGCAACGAAACGAACCAGCCAACCGAACAAGCTATTGATCACTATAATTGTGTAGGTTGTTCTCAATCTAGGCTTGCAAAACTAGCTAGGTGTAGAATTATTAGGGCCTTCTTGTTGTCTAACGCCTTTGCCTACTGTTTTATTCGTGCAAGAAATTTTAATTATACTATTCACCCCTTCTAGCCATCAAAGATTCTTACACCATAGCTCTGTGATTTGTCCCTTCTCCCCAAAGACATCGACATGACGGGATTAGTAGCCAGATCGCGCTAGGCTGTGATGCGGTGCAGTGATTGGGTTTTCCTATATGTGCCCTGCCTTGTGCGTCGTGAAGGGATGGAGTCACGGAAACAAGAGGAGTGGGACGATCGACGCCCAACAGACAAGAAACACATAATAGGAGAGGAAGGCTTAGGATTATCGACTGGGCTAATGGGCTTTGCTAGTTTCTATGGTCTAGTTCTAAACACACCCTTTCACTGGCCATGAGGAGTTGTCTTCCTCGACACTTTTCACTATAGACTCACATGGAATTGGAATAGGAGGTGGCAAAACTCATCTATGGCATTCTGAACTCGTCGGAAAACAGAGGTACCAAAGAGGTTCGACGCTGGCGTTAGGTAGGGCAACCGTCCTGCCTCGTCCTATTGGTGGGTCCGCCACTGTCACCCTATCTGCCTTTGCATCATCATTTTTTTTTAAAAGCGGCAACGTCAAATCAAAACTTTATATTTATATATATACATAGTCCTATATACGGCTTGTGTAGCTATTATTTAGTTTCTTGCTTGTCATGTGTAGTGTGGATGATTGGGTTTGCTGGTCGCTAGCTGCCGGCCGGGATTATGCAGGCGCCGCGGTATGGCAGGGGTTCTCGGGCCATGCATATCGACCCGACCGTCTAGTGATGTCGTGGGCGGACAAAATCTATAATTTAAGTAATCTTATATCTTAATTAATTTATTTATGTACAAACAACCAAGAGCCAAAGCGATGCAAGCTACTTTCTCCGTACCTAAATAACTGTCGTTCTCACCTCCCAAGAAATAACTTTAATTAATTTTATATAAAAAAATTAATATTTATAGTGCATAATTAATATCATTAGATATATCGTTGAATCTATTTTCATAATATATTTATTTAGAGATATAAATGTTGCACGTATTTTCTACTTTTTTTTTTTGTAAAAGAGGTATTTTCTACTAATCTAGTCAAACTTAAGACATAAAAAAAACAACGGCCGCCCTGTTCGGCTGATAAGTCGGCTGATGCTGATTTATTACGAGAGAAAAATACTGTTTCATGTCTGATAAGCAATTCAAGCAACATGACAAGTTATTTAGGAACGAGGAATACATGTGACGCGAAATAACTGTTTTTGTTTTTGTTTTTTGTATTCGTGCCTGTTGTTTTTAGGAATCTCTTTAAAACAACAGTTATTTGCTCCTAGGAATACATGCATCGCTTCACATATACTCCCTCCGGTTTCCTAAAGAATATCGTTTTGGACAGCGACGCATTCTTAAAAAAACAAGTTTGATCATTACTTTTTGCTATAAAATATTTATAAAATATAGTTAATATATACTTTTATGAAACTACATTTCGAGATGAATTTACTTACATCACTTTCATATTTTTAAACTCAACCCAAAAAATTTATTTGTAGTTAAAATTTAAAATATTTGACTTAAGACAACCTCAAAACGACATCTTTTATAAAACCGGAGGGAGTATAACAATATTTCCTCCTCCAGGTGAGACTTGTTTTAAACAGAAGAATGAACTCGGGCCATACCTGCAATATTTCGTAGTCAAACAATCATCATGCCAAGACCTCTTTTTAAGAATTATTCTTTTGCATTAACATGGACTACTTTGCTGCGAAATAAAACTACTCCTACTCTGGTAAGAAAACTAAGTTTATATAGAAGGAAATTACTCGGTAAAACCACAACGATTTTAGTCCCACTATTTTAATCCATGTTCCAGAAAAAAAAGAAAGGTATCTAGTAGACTTCGTCACTCTGTAGGCCCTTGCTTGCACGTCTCCTGCATTTAGTTAGGCCCTTGCTTGCACGTGCAATTGTCGTTAGCATCTGCCTCACCGTTGTCGTTAACATCCGTGTGACTGTGATCAGCATCGGAACTATGGAACCTCAGCCATACTGCAGTCAACCTCTCTAGCGGACCAAGGGGCATATCCCGCGTGGACCGCGGCGCCGCGTCGCCAAGCTTATTGCCGGCCGCATCACCCACGACGGTCGCCGCGTCCCCCGCGCAATCTCCCGCGGCAACCATGTCCTCGCCCTGTGTCGCCATGCCGCCATGACTGTTCTGTTGTGGTTGTGGCTGCTCGACGACGACGACCTCTTGGGGCGCGGCAACGACCTGCACCTCCTCCGTTGCTGCCGCGCCACCAACACGGGCTTGCCCTGCCTCGCCTCCACGGTGGTGCAGCAGCAACAGCCCGAGCGCGCCGTCCGGCTGGTCTTTCTCCCCAATTGACAGCTTTGGCGAGCGGAATGCCCAGAGCTCCATTTGGATGTCGCCGGCGGCGTCTCGCACTGCTGGCTGCTCATCGTTTGGTTCCTCGTCTGGCAAACTGCTCCGGCGTTTCTTTCGCTTCCCAGATCGCTTTTGAGTCACGCCACCGCCGCCGACCAACAAGCCGTTGTTCTTCAGAAAAAACTGTATAGTCGGGCCCTATGATCCTGTAGGCGGTGTTGCACGATAGATACTTGAGGTTGAGCTCGTACGCTCTGCCGTCGCAGTCGTACGCCTCCACAGCAAGCCCTTGAACCGTGCTCCTCTGCTTATTCCCCTCCTCATCGTCGTCCTTATCCGCGTCCTCCTTGCCGCCGTCGTCGTCGGTCATCTTGTGCTTGCCATTGTTGTTGCCGCAGCAGACCTTATCCTTCACCCGGTTCACTTGGGCTTTTTGACTTATAAACCGTACAGCGAACGGTATTTTTCTCTCCATGGCTTATTGTTGTCCTCGCCGCCAACCTCCTTCTTCTTGCCCTTGCCCTCGTTGCTGTCGTGCTTCTCGTCCTCTTCTGTCTTCGTGGCTCCGGCCGGTGCAGCAGCGGCATCTCCGTCTCCGTGAATATGCTAGCGAAAGAGGCCCTCTTGCTTTCGCATTTGCACAACATGAGTAGATGATTCTGGCCCTTGCTCCTGTCGGACGGCGGCATGCGTTTCTCGTAGACAAGCGTCGGGTCTGAGGCGTCGAGGCGGGCTAGGATGTTGCGGAGTGCATCGGTGACATGGGCCGGCCTTGTTTGGAAAGAAATCGGTGGCCTTCTTCACCTTCGAGGCTCCAACGGAAGGTGACTCACCGCCGTTGTTCTCCATGGCAATATATAGGGAAGGTCTAGCCAGCCTTCTCGGTGCGGACACGGACTGTCCAAGACTCCAAGTTTTTTTTTTGAGGGGAGTCCAAGACTCCAAGTGGAATCAGGTGCTATCGGTCGTGGACTTTCCTCTCCAAGCGGGACTAGTACGATCCAGCAGCCTAGTGGGCTAGATTAGGCCCACTTCGAACAAGCGATCCTGGGCTGAGTGAATTCGCACAAAAAGAGGCGAGGAAAATGATCTTCCCCAATTTACCCTTGTCCAGTTATCCATCCGATTCCAATCCCGCAAGCGCAGCAGAAGCAGAGGAGGAGGAAGACGGAGTGAAGCGCAGCCGAGCCGCCCTCCCCTCCCACTCCCGTCCACACACCCGCTTCCCATGGCGCTCGCGCTGCGCTGCCCTCCCGCCGCCACCTCCTCCCGGGGCCCCTTCCTGCCGTCGCCCTCCCTGGCCCCGGCGGGGAGGCTCCCGAGGAGGCCGCCCGCCAGCTGGAGGTGCCACGGCTACTACGGCGACGGCGGATTCCGCAAGAGCTACGACCACATCCCCAAGCAGTTCCGCGAGGAGAACCTCAAGGATGGACGTGAGTGCTCTCTCCTCCCCCATACTTGCTACCGCCTTCATCCCATCCCGCTAGCTGCTAGGTGTAGATTCTGTGTCTTGTACTCCTCCTTATGCAGAATAAGCAATATGCGGGTTTGCCTATAATTCAGTCTGACTAGGGAGGGAAACTGCTTGCCGAGAGTGCTACACGAGACATTTCCATGAGGGTTGAGGCAGCTACCGCATGTGCTACATCACTGTACCCAACTTAATCAGGCCAGCCACCACTGGCATTTAATCAGCAGAACATGCCATCCAAGGATAACAATGTACTGTTTCAGCCTATAGTTTGCCATTACATGTTGGCTTGATGATACAAATGCACAGAGTTGTATACAGCCAAGAAAGATCACCAACGCTGCCCAACTAAGCCTTGCATGGTAGTGTCTCAAAGATTAGCTGCTTTCAACTGTGGGCATCTAGTCCAGCGAAATAGTAGCATCTACATGTTCATTTATCCACTGCAAAGTGTTAGACCTCAGAGATAATGTTGTTTTTGAATCGGAGATTTCCAGTTTAACGAGCTTGCAATGGTCCACAAGGTTCCCTGATGTGCAATATGCTATCCTCACTTTAGATTTGGGCAAACCTTTGGCACAGGGTTGAAGATTCCAGGTGGTAGTTTAACTTTTGGGCAAAGGACCAAATTTACTAGCTGGTTCATAAGAAAATTAAAATAGATATTTGCACCTTCTTCTTTAAAAAAAGAAAAGAAAATTACTATGCACCGGAGGACTTATTTTGAGAAAAAGTCCATTAAACTCTACATGTTTTACACGTTCATAATTGTGTAGCAGCCACAACATTTTAGGTTTAGGTGGTGAGGGTTATTCCAATTTCTTGATCTGCTTCTGTATCTTGTCAATCAAATCTTCTGTGCCTGCTATTTGTTTTGCACCACTTTAAAGCATTATGTCCTCTGGCAGTGATGGATAATTACAAGAATGTTCCTCAATTCCTTTACGGATTAAGTTCTGCACAGATGGAAATGTTTATGAATGACGACAATCCTTATAATCGGCAATCCCAGAAAGTTACAGAGGTTAGTGATGTTATAGAGCCCTTCCCATTTCTATTTTGTCAAGTTCATTCCATTACATCAATGTAACAGAGTTGAGATGGTATTTTCCCTGTGAACTTTAGGAAAGCGTATCTGCTGCTAGGAGTTACGATGAGTTTGGTATGTACACCTTGTCAGGCATGCATGAGGGACCTGCAAGTTACAGCATGGGTTTGGGCATGGGGGGCAGCATGAGCATGAGCATGGGCAGAGGAGGGAGAGGGTATAGAAGAATGAGAAGCTCTGCTCCAGATCTGCCATCATTGCTACTGGACTCTCGAATTATATTTCTTGGGATGCCTGTGAGAGATCAACTTTCTACCTCATTTCATTATCAGTAATATTTTGAAGGTCTGGTTCAACAAATGGTAACATTCAGTGTCATTGTTATACTGGCAGATTGTTCCAGCAGTAACTGAGCTTATTGCTGCTCAATTTCTATGGCTAGACTACGACGACCGCACAAAACCCATTTATCTGTATATAAACTCCACTGGAACTATGGTAAGTAGTTGTTTGAATGTTTGAAAAATAAGAAATCATGTCATCTTTCATATGTTTCCGGTGCATATTGCCAGTATTTATATGACTACATCTTCTGTGCTGTAACAGGATGAGAATAATGAGCTTGTTGCATCTGAAACTGATGCTTATGCAATTGCTGATTTTATCAATGTAAGGCTGTGTCTTCTATCTCTGACTGATAATCCAGCATAATTTTATGCCATTGTTAATGATGTTATTATCATGCCTAGGACTCTATCTATGTTTGAATGTAATCTCATAGAGTTTCTGTGCATAGAGTGCATGCAGTGATCAGGACTGTGAATCTAGATTCCAGAGCAATTAAATATGTTGCGCACTTGAGGATCTTTTTTTTGGCCAAAAACTTGAAAGCAAGATAAATTGTTGCCTGCTGGAGATGATGTCTGTTGTTCAGAACTTTTAGGTTCTGTTACACATTTTCATTCTGTCGGCACTCGAACTAACATGAGAAATGAACCATTAAAACTGAGTCGACAAAAAGGATGAATAATCATGTGGGATGAAGTTAATGTACCAGATTCAATTAGTATGTGGGAAGGCAGCCTTAATTCAAATCATGAACAATTTGGGCTTAATTCCTTCTTATTTGATGTGGAGTGACAACTGAAAGGCGCTGGCAGAGTAGTGGGCGTACCCAGTGCAGAGAGCTCCCGCTCTGTGCGGGGTCTGGGGAAGGGTGTCAGTGGCAAGCCTTACCCTCGCCTGTGCAATGCGAGGAGACCGCGACTCGAACCCGGGACCTTCCGGTCACAGGCGGTAAGACTCTACCGCTTGCACCAGGTCCGCCCTTCTGGCAGAGTAGTAGTAGCTTATAAATTATAACACATAGCAACATTATGCGTAAAGTCCTGCCCGTCAGTACAATGTTTTCAAGGGACCAAATGATAAATATTATATTTTAGTAGCACATGCCTCCCATTTTGAGAACTATGCTGAAGAATCTTGGCACATGACATATGTTTTGTTAAGATTTTATTTGCTTTGAAGCAAACCGAAGCATGGATAAAAGAACTAAAACTGCCTACTCTGACTTTTGCATATTATTATTTTTGGTTTGGCAGCGAAGCAAATCAAAGGTTTACACAATCAATCTTAGCATGGCGTATGGTCAGGCTGCGATGCTTCTTTCCCTTGGTGTCAAGGGTAAAAGAGGAGTGCTGCCAAATTCAATCAGTATGTTACATTTCCTAAGTTTCGTTGCTCCTTTTTCATTCACTCATGGGTGCGTGCTTAACAGCATATATTATATATTGGTCCTAAATGTGCACTACTAATTGCAGCTAAATTACACCTGCCTAAGGTGCACAAATCTGGTGGAGCTGCCATCGATATGTGGATTAAGGTCAGATCCAACTCTTCTTACCAATATCTCAAGATCCAACTCCCTTTTATGCTTATGCCGTATGCCCATGCTATTGTGTACTAGTGGACTGAATATGTTATTTTATACTCAGGCAAAAGAGTTAGATACAAACACAGACTACTACCTCGAACTCTTGTCTAAAGGAGTTGGCAAACCAAAGGAAGAGCTTGCTGAATTCCTTAAGGGCCCGAGGTACTTCCGAGCACAAGAGGCTATTGATTATGGACTTGCTGATACAATCTTGCACTCACTGGATGGTTCTTTCAAGCCAAAGGTATCTTGCTAATTGCTATCCCTCTTTCATCTCTGATCTCCATATGTAGCTCTCCAGTCTCCACTAATTATTTCTTCTTGTGGATTAGGATCTGACTGCGCAGCTGGCCAAAGCACAGGAGATGAGGCAATCAGGTAAGCGTGCAGCTGCTGGAGCTGGGAGATGGTCAACTCCAACCGCACCCAGATAGACTAGAAAGGTACACCAGGACGGTATATGCTCATCTGGATGATCGTGTGGTTCTGCTATACAAAGAAGCCAGCATTTGTATACTTGGATTGGGAAGAATCATCTCCATGGAGCTTGGAATTAGACGCACGCTGGATAGTGGAATGTTGTAAACTGTAGTGTCAGTTGTACGTGTATCATCTGTGTGCAATCTTTGTTATGCTCGGCCCGCAGCTATTGCATTCAGATAGATTAATTTCACCAGTGGAAACGATAGCCTGTATGAATCATCATATAACCTATAGCATCCATTTCAGCAGATGTTGTGGACTAATGCTGATGGTTGGTCCATTCTTCAGGTGGTCAATGTGAAAGCCTGAAACACTGAATGGCCATGATCATCTTGGCTTGTTTCGTTTGGTGTACTGATGCATGAAATTCTCTCTTCACCGTATGCACAGTATCTGAATATTTTGGAACATGGGTCTTGACACAAGTATAAACATGAATTTTTATATTAGCCTGTTCGTTTGGTCGTAAACGATCGTGGATTATAAGTCTGAACATTATTTTTCTCCCACACCATACCAGCTAGCAGTAATAATCTACGATCGTTTCAGCCGAAACGAACAGGCTGATTATAGTAATTCAAGTTTTGCCTTAGCTTTGTCAAATCATCACACTGTACATGTATAAACATGTTTACAAATTTCACTTTTGTTTGTGCATGTATATATGACAAGCTATATTACGTTGTCATAAATGTCTGGACGCATGGTTGGCTTGGCTATTAGTTCCTGCTGGACCTGCAGAAGAGCCTGCTGGAGACGAAGACGCCAAGGGAGAAGGCGGCGACGGCGACGGCGATCACCTCCCTGTTCTTCTTCACCGTCTCCACGAGGCCCTCCGCCCACTCGGATCCCGCCAGCCCCTGCAGCTCCTCCGTCACGCGCTCCTTGAAGCCACGGCACGCTTTCCTCTGGCGCTCCGCCTCCTCTGCTGCAGCCTTGGCCCGCTCTTCCTCGGCGCGCCTATTCACCCTCTCCGCCAGGCTCTCCGGATCGACCGCCTTCCTCTCGGCGTCAGCCTGCGGCGGCGGCGGCGCGGGCTTGGGCGTGGCGGCCTGCTCCTTCGTGTCGGTTGCCGCTGCCGGTGCTGGTGCAGCTGCAGCGGCGCCGGGTTTGGACTTGCCTTCCTCCTTCCTCACGGCCGGTGGTGGTGGCGCCGCCGCCTTGTGCTGCTGCTCTGGCTCCGGTTTGCCGCTCTTGGCGTCCACCACCTGCTGCTCGGCAGCGGGCTTCTTGGTGGTAGCATCCTCGTCCTTGGCCTTGGGCTTGGGAATGGCGTCGTCCTTGGGCTTCTTGGCGTCCTCGTCTTCCTTTCCCTTGCGCTGGTCCTGCGTCGGCGTCGGCTTGGCGTCCCCGGCCGGTGGCGCCTTTGCCTGCTGCTTGGCCTCCGCCAGATCTTGGAGCTGCTGCTGCTGCGACGCAGGCAGGCGCTTGGGCACGGTGAGCGTGAGGACTCCGGCTTCGAAGCGTCCGGCAATGTCGTCGAGGTTGGAGGTGGAGGGCAGCTGGAAGACCTTGCTGAAGCGGGAGTGCCTGGGGTTGGCGGCGGCGTCGGAGCGCTGGCCGCGGACGGTGAGGCGGCCGGCGCTGTCGACTTGCACCCTGAAATCTTGTTTCCTGAAGCCTTTTTACAAGCAAGAAATTAAACACAAGAGTCATGCAATGGGTGTGCATGCAGCTAAGGAACTGTGCATCCAGGAGGGGCAGGGCAGGGCGGCCATTAGCATTAGCGTGCAGTACCTGAGAGGTGGATGCGGAGGATGAAGCTGGTGGCGTTCTCCTGCCACTCGTACCTCGGGTCGAACTCCTGATCAGCTGCTGCTGCATGCTTGCTGCCGGCGGTGGCCATGGATTCTCTTATTGTTATCGATCAGCTGCAAGAAGGAAGGATGAGGCTAGCTAGTGTGATAGCAGATGGCTAACTGCTTGCTTGTGTCGTCTGTATGCTGGATCGGATCGATCAGCTAGCTCTGGAACGCCGATGGATGGTGAGATGAGATGAGAGATCTAGATAGCAATATACATGTATATATATCATACTGTATATGATAAAAAAATATAAGATAGATGACGGCCGGATTGTTCCAAACTTGGCTTGGGGGGCTCATCACTACTTAACATGCATTGCATTGGTGAAAACTTGTTTGGGATGGAATGGAATTCTCTCTCCGCGCGGTTATTGCTATTGCTGGAAATGGTGAGGCTTTGCAGCTAGGATAGGATGGAGGTCCAATTCCAAGGGATGGGAGCCGGAGGAGGAAGAGGAATCCTTTGGGCGGGCAGAAAGGTTAGGAATAATCCAGGAGAGGAATATTTACTCGGTTTTCCTCCCAAGTCCCAACAACGACGGCTAACGTGAACATGTAGCTTAACTGACAGGGAGGAGAAAGGAGATGGTGCGCGCACGCGGGAACGCTGGTGGTCACTATTGGGCCAGGCAGGGCCGAGCCGGGCCCGTAGATCTCGGGAGCCTCCTTCATTGGGCCGCCTCTTGTGCTGGACTTGCAGACTGGCCCATTCCTTCCTTGGGCCGTCCCTTGTGCTGAACTTTTTGCAGACTAGCCCATTCATCTTTGATCCGTTTGGTTCCCTGGGAATGAGAAAAAAAAAATCACAATCCGCTGGATAATGAGGGGTTTGTGTTGGCTAAATACATAATGCTACATGGGAGTTTTTTTTCCCAAATCACATGTGCAGACACTCTCACCCCTATATAAATGCACGTACAAAACCTACCCCAAACCGGTTCCAGGGAAGTACGATCACATGAGTTAAGTTAAAGATTTAGGGCCTGTTTGGATTAGATCCTGAAAAAGTTGCCTGGTGCAGGTAGCAATTTTAGGCGTCTATTATTGGTGACCTGTGTCTAGATGTTGTTGCCTGCCCAGGCCATCAACCAAACAATCCCTTAAACTCGAGTAGACAAGTTCCACCGTAAGAAAATTAGCCAACTAGTAATGCACAGTTCACATACAACTCGGTAGTTGGTTTCATTAACGCGCACATTTTGTTTAATCAAAAGACTTTTCAACAAACCCGCATGGGAAGCACAATCACAAAAGATGAAGAGGTAATCCAAAGTAAGTGAATGGTAGTGATCCAACTGCGAAGCCAAGACTACGAGCAAGAATCTTCATTTACCCCTCATTCTATATTTATTGTTACCATAATTGATTTTGAGAAAACAACTTTAATACATGAGGAGTCCACAAAAAGTGTTAAGGGGTGCTTCTAGGCATATATAAGAGCTGATTTGCAGTGTCATCAGCGTATTGTATAATTGAAAAATCATCTCCGACTCTGTCTATTGTCAATTTAATAAGGTTTAAGTCAGAGTCACAAAGTTCCCTTGACGATGAGGTTGAGGAATGGAGTTATTTACACGACGGGGTCGAAAATGACACCGCATACATGGGTGGGGGACGTTGATGTTTCTTATCTCGTTTTTCTGTGACTATGGTTTAAGTCATTTGCTTTGTGTCAGGATACTCTGTAAAAAAAGCCAGCTACTAACACAAAAAGTAAAGGATGAGATAGGATCACCTCTGGCTCCTCTTCTACAGTGAATGACTTTACCAGAGATTTTATTTAAAAGGACGATAGATGATGTGCCTGAGTTGAAGATCATATTCATCCAATTTGACCATTTCTCTCCCAAACCTTTTTTCCCCTCTGTTATATGCATCATAGAATTATCAAATGCCTTTTCAGAATCCAACTTTAGGATAATCGTTTCTTCAATTTTTTTATGATGACAAATACGTAGATGCTCTAGTGAACAAGCTAGGCAATCTGGTATGGTTCTAGACCGAATGAAACCACATTGCCGCGTTCGTGCTAAATCGCACCTGTTGGCGTTAGTCGATTGAAGGTGCAGGTCTTAAATTACACCTATGGATACCCACCAGGACTTTAAAAAATAGTGCTTGTTTGGCCGTAGAAGAAAGTGGCTGCTGCAGCCACCGGCTAAGAGTCATTTGTGAGGAGGCTAGGAGCCACAACAGCAGAAGCAGCTTTCGGCTACAGGAGAGTCATTGTTCTCCATCTCCTTGTAATTTTTCTCTTTGTTTTTTGGTTTATCGAATTTTTTCTCAGGTCTTTGCTGTCTTGTAGCAGGGGTTTACTGGGGGTGTAGATTTACATCTTTGTCTGTGGTGCTGGGCCAATCTCGAAAGCCCACTTCAATGTGTAAAACATGGGCCTATGTTTAAGAACCCGGTACAACTCATAAAAGCTTAACATGTCTCTTGTTAACCTGTTAAGGAAGAGATCTACATACCGGGTCTCTTCGTGGACCTGTTATGCTGGTTGTGACTTCACAAATATTCTTGTCGTTGGATGTGAATATAAGAGCCGGTATCTGTCGCTTGAAAAACAAGAGATATTTTAGGCACCTGAAATATAGCAGGTCTCTATTTTTTGTTTTGTTTTGCAGCGAAGCAAATCCAAGATTTACACAACGCTAATGCTCCAGTGCGGGCGTCGGTCCCGTATCCATCCGAACGGACGTTTCTAACTAGGCCTACGGACCAGCCCAAGTCCTCCTCCCCTCACGGCATATACACGGTTTCTAAAAAAAAAGAGCGACACTTTCTCCACCCAGCAGCGACCGCCACGGGCGCCTCCATCGCATTGCCCGCCCTTCGCTCGCTTTCTCCGCCGTCGGGGCCGCTCATCGCGGGCAGCAAACCTGCTGATTGACCGGCGCTGATGCCTGACCACTGCTCGCCTGTAGAGAGGGAGACCGCGGGCGTTCAACACTGCTACCGCCTCCACCACGGGGCCCGGACACTTGGCCGACTGCCAGGAAGACCTCCGCCTCCGACGCGCCGTGGCCCAGCGTTGACCTCCCGCTCACGGCCATCGCCGGGAGCACCCCAGGAGAGGGGGCCGTCTCTGGCCGGGTGAAAGCTCTAGTTTGGTTTTGGTTAATTGATGAAACCCTAAGTGCTAACCTAGTTTATCAAAGTGATTATGAGATAGGTAGCACTACTTCAAGTAATGAAGCAATGATGAAGATCATGATGATAGTGAAGGCATGGTGATGATCAAATGCTTGAACTTGGAAAAGAAGAAAGAGAAAAATAAAAGGCTCAAGACAAAGATATAAATAGTAGAAGCCATTTTGTTTTAGTGATCGGGACACTTAGTGAGTGTGATCACATTTAGGATCGATAGCCGTAATATTAAGAGGGGTGAAACTCATATTAAAATGTGGTTATCAAAGTGCCACTAGATGCTCTAACTTATTGCATATGCATTTAGGATCTAGTGGAGTGATAACACCCTAAAAAATGTTTGTGAAAATATGCTAACACATGTGCACAAGGTGATACACTTGGTGGTTGGCACATTTGAGCAGGGGTTAGAAACTTCACCGGCGGAGTGTTCGCCCGTAGAGTGCGGACAGTCTGACGGTGCCACCGGCGCACTGTACAGAAAAGACGGAGGTCACTGTAAGTGATCGGATGCTGGTCTAGGTAGGACCGGCGTGTCTGGTCAGTGGAAGAGTGAAGACGCTGGCGTCGGTCTTCGACCGGATGCTGGGTCACTCAGTGACCGGACGCTGACGGGGTGCGTCCGGTCCTGCTGACGTGGCAACGCACAGAGGAGACCCCGAGTGACCGGATGTTGGGTGAGTCCGGTCGGGCATGACCGGAAGTGTTCGATCGTGATTTTTTGTGAATGGAAGCTTACTGGAAATGACCGGACGCTGAGGTCCTGCGCTCGGTCACTTCAAAGCAGCGCGTCCGGTCACAACTTAAATGTACTGATGACCGTTGAGATCGGACGATCAGCGTTTGAAGCAGGGGACACGTGGCACACATCGCGCGACCAGAAGCTGGGGTCCAGCGTCCGGTCGATCTGACCTACGCGTCCGGTCGTCCCGTTTTTTAGTGGACTGAGGAGCCAACGACTCTATTTCGTGGGGGCTTCTATTTAAGCCCCATGGCTGGCTCAAGCTCACTCTCTTGGCCATTTGCATTGACATAGCAACCTTGTGAGCTTAGCCAAAGCCCTTCCACTCATCTCCATCATTGATCCATCATCATGGTGAGATTAGGAGAGAATCCAAGTACATTGCTTGAGTGATTGCATCTAGAGGCACTTGGTATTCGTGTTTCGCTGCGGGATTCACTTATTTCTCTTGGTGGTTGCCACCACCTAGACGGCTTGGAGCAGCAGATTAAGGATTGTGAAAGAGGTAATGAGGTGTGGAGGAGATTGGAGGAAACATATGAGGGCACACCGGCGGTGAAGAGTGCCAAGTTGTACATCCTCAAGGATAAGTTGACAAGCTTCAAGATGAAAGATGATGAGAGCATTCCGGAGATGTTCCATCGATTGCAAGTGATTGTCAATGATTTGAAGATATTGGGAGAGAAGATCAAGGATGATGATGTCTCTCATCGGTTCTTAATGGGCCTACCTCCAAGATTTGAGATGTTGAGATTACTTATCATAAGAGGAGGATTGAAGGAGATTACCCCTAACCAAGTTCTAGGTGATGTCATGACACAAGAGACATACCGTGTGGAAAGGGAGGGGATGACAAGGATGACAAGAAGGAAGAAGAAGAGTATAGCATTCAAGGCTAGCTCATCATCATCCAAGAACAAGGGAAAGTCCAAGAAAGAATCAAGTGATGATGATGATCTTAGTGATATTGATGATGAAGCTATGGCCCTCTTTGTACGCAAGATGGAAAAATTCATGAAGAAGAAGGACTATGGTGCAATAAAGAGAAGAGATCACACCAAAAGTAAAGAAGATGTAAGAAGATGCTACAATTGCAAGAGCCCCAATCACGTTGTAGCAATTTGTCCCTACAATAGTGACAATGGTGAG